GTGCGGGTGCGTGGAGCCTTGGGAAGTGGGCCATGCCCCCCGGGAGGCTCCTTTCTGGCCAGTCCCTGCCGGCAATTCCACCATTATAAACACATCCTGCCTCTCAGTCCTCTAAGAGGCAGATATTTCTTTAGGACAACTGGTGCTATAGAGAGTCATTCCTTTTATAAATTAGTGTCTGGAAATAACTTCTCTCTTTGAAGCCCTTATTTTCTGACTTTTCTCCTGAAGGACCTCTAAGAGCAGAAGAAGGGAACAAACTGTGGTCTATTGTGTGCCCCCCCCCCCCGACTGTTCTAAAGGCTTTCCAATCATCTACTCATTTAGCCCTCACATTGCTTCTATTAGCCTCATTTTACAGAGGAGGAAACTGAGGTACAAAGAGGCTGAGTGACCTTCCTCAAGGTCACCCAGCTAGTGAGTGGTGGAGCTGAGATTCGAACTCAGGCTGTCTGGCTCCAGAGCTTTAGCCAATACGCTCTCAGCCATAAGGTCATGACAACCTATGAACATAAACAGCAGCACAGCAAGCATTTATCAACCTATACACTTTACGTGCATCATCTCATTTCATCAGCACAATTATCATTTTCCCAGGTGAGGAAGGTGAAGTTCAGAGATATGTCATTGGTGCAAGGTCACATCTTCACCCAGGACACTGAGGCACAACCAGAGGGGCCCAAAGAAAGCCTATAGCACCTTTGCTGTCACATAGGTTATCCTAAACATTCATGAGAACTTTGCATAAAGTTCCTCAATATACCTTTGCTTCCCTTACTATAAATACTGTGTTTAAATTTATTTACCATGGAGCAAATAGATGCACCAGGAAGATAAGCTCCTTAACTCCTCTCGCCCCCAAGTCATGCAACAAGGACCCCTGGCCACATCACCCTCCAGACTGGTAAGCATGGCTCTTGAGGAATCAGTGGCCTTCTTTCTACCCAATAACAAAAGTTCTGTGGCCCATCGGTTTTTCTTTTTTCTTTGGCCGCCAAGGAAGCTTGGAGCTACATTTTCTGTTAAGTCCCAGTTGCCACATTAAGCCTCCATCGTTTAGCAAATTCTCCTTTTCAAAGTGTCTTGTTGTTCACAGTTTGATTGTGCAAAGAAGGATACTCTGTGTCTTGAGGGAAAATTCAAATATCTGTGAATTCAGAATAGGCCTTAGAAATTTGATGAAGGTGGCAAATCTGGCCCCCATCTGTGTCTTCGACCCGATGTATCCAGGGAGCCCGACTCAGCAGTCACACTCAGTGTGTTCACCCACTTAACAAATATTAATTGTGCACCCACTATGTACTAGGCACTTCAATGGCACGAGAGATATAGTGATAAATAGACACTGGCCTGCTCGTTGTATATTTCCCTTAGCAATACATCTTGGAAAGAGTTGCCTATCAGCCCAGGTCTACCCCATACTGCAGAACAGCCTGTGCTGTATGGATGCACCATGACAGATTGAACAGCTCCTACTGATGGCATATAAGCTGTTTCTAATCTTTGGTTATAAAAACAATGCTGCAGTGAACATCCTTATTCATATATACTTGTGCACATGTTTGAGAATAATCTGTATGATAAATTCCTAGAAATGGAATTGCTAGATCAAAGATGTCTTTGCCAAAGTTCCTTCGGAAGAGGCTGTCCCGGTTCATACTCCCCACTAGCAGTCCATAAACGTGCCCATTTCTCTACACCCTTGCCAACACAGAATATTTTAAACATTTTTGGAATCTATGGGTGAAATATGGTATCTCAAACTTTTTATTTGCTTTTTTGCTTTATTATAAAAAACATTTTCAAACATATAAAACAGCAAACAAAATAGTTCATTGAACACCCATCATCTAGATATAATCGTTCTTAAAAACTTGTCAAATGTTTAATTTGGGGAGAGGGTTTGAATTGTTTTGAAATAAAATATAGGCATCATGATATTTCACTCACTGGCAACTTCAGTATTACTTTATATCTAACACGGGCCATTTTCTTACATAAAACAACACATTTTTCACATTTAAAAAATTAACAGTAAGGCCCTGATATCTAGTTCATATCCAAATTTCTGCAGTTGTACCAGAAATTTCTTCATTGATCCAATCAAGATCCAACAAAGATCCAATCAACAGCCATGCAACAAATTCTGTTCTTAAACCTTAGGTCTCTAGAATGGTCCTCACTCCTTAATTTTTTCCCATAACATTGACTCATGAAGGGACTGGCCAGCTGTCTTGTACAATGTTCCACTTCGGGATTTGTCTGATTGGTCATTGTGGTGTCCTTTAACTTCTCATACTCTGCCTTGTATTTCCTATAAACTAGTACTTAGATGTAAAGGACAGATTCAGGTTAAAAATACTTTGGGGGCAAGAATTTAACACTTGATGGGTGGTGCTGTGTGCTTCATTTTGCCTGGCACCAGGAGATCCATAATGTCTTGTTGCTCCACTATTAATGATGCCAAGTTTGATTACCGGTTAAGGTGGTGACCACATCTCTCGATGTTAAATGTCCATTTCTCTCCTTCCCACAAGAACCTTGTGGGTATCCAGTTCCTCATCCATTGATGGTCCTTGAATGAATCAATTATCAGGGATTGTAAAATGATTTTCTAATTTTGTCTTTTTGTTTGCATTTACCAGCAGGCGTTCTTTATTTGAATTTCATTAATTATGAGTGAAGCTGACCGTCCTTTCAAATGCTTAAAAGCCATTTAAATTTCTTTCCCAGCAAACTGTCTGTGTTTCTGTGGGGACCTGGGCAATTATAACAGCATGATGAGTGCAGGGACTGGGGTGAGGACAGGTTGTGGCAGAGCTGGGAAGGGACGTCCCGCTTGCCCACGGCCCCAGGTGCCGACCGTGCTGGGAAGGCTTTCAGGGGCAGTGGCTCTCAGTATGGGTCTCTCTGAAGCAGGTCCTGAGACAGGAATTCAAAGACAAGCAAATACTTTGGGAGAGAAGGGAAATCCTCGGAAAGGAGACGGGAAAGGCAGCCGAGGAAGGTGTGTTGTCAAGCAAGTTA